CATTATGTCTTTTCAATGACTGGTTTTGATGTTACCAGCACAAAATGGTAACACTCTTGTGATTTATAAAATAAGATCTATAAGAAACCGTAAATGACATGACAGGGTGGAGCTAAGTAACCTTTAATTAATGCTGTACAAGCTATTTTTATGCCACCAAAGTGTTAAATTAACTTTCATGAACTGAACACATACGTCCTAGAAAGAGGACTTCCGCCAAAAGCATATCAAGCTTTATCGTCTGTATTTGTATTTGTATATTTCACTTGTATCAAGATAAGGAAAATCAGTCATGTGCTGCTGCATTGAGTTTCATAAAGGACATTATGATATGTTGCTGTACTGTTATGTAAAATCCAAATTTAAATGCTACGAGAAACTGTTCCAAAGCATCGGTGAGCAATATGTTTGTGTGCTTGAGTTAATCTGGTTATACTTGAAGAGCGGACCACACTCTTTTAATCTAATTTCTCTAATTACATTTACTGTAATTCAAGTAAATGTCATAAGGCAACCATCATTCTCACAATAGCTCTTCAATGTCATCCCTTCAATATAGCCATTGTTATTACCATAATTATAATATGAGTATATAATATAATACATAGATCACAATGTCATTTTATTTGTCTTTTCATACATTTGAGCAGCTTTTTTTCCCTTCCTTTCTAGTGGTACCTGCTCCGGCGTAAAATGTCTAATCACATTTGTATTTGTAATGTAATAATTATGTGTGTTGGTCTGAACGTGTTTGAAAGACTATGCACTTAACAAAGTGTGGCACCTGTTTACAAAGCAACACAATCCTGATTTTTGTGACAAGAAAACATTTCTGTCAGGAGTGGGATTCGAATCCAGAGGAGACTGCGACCAACTTTTGAAATGTTGAGAATATTGGCCAATGACAGTGCTAACTCCAACATTTGTTGGCCAATTAAATTTGTGGCTCCTACACCCGTCCAACTTTTGACCAATCACGGTGGAGAAATGTTGAAGCATAGAAGGGGATTTTTGTAGTTAGCATCTGTTGCTAGCCATTTATGCTAACGGATATAAGAAGCTGTTTCTACAACAAGGTGCTGGGAGAACTCTCTCCTGTTAGGCTGAGAGACATACCCCCAGACCCCCCTAGAGAATGTGACGTCCACCCCCCAATTAAAACATGTTCACATGGATAGGATACTGATTACATGATTACATAATGTATGTGTATATAACCATTGTCTATATGTTTCTTTTTCTGCAGTGTATTGGTCTACTGTAGAGAGTTTTCATTTATTCTTTATATTTTAGATTGTGTATTCCCAAATTATTTTCTACTGTACGATTTTCAGGCTGGAGAGGGGGGCAACAGCTAAAATCTTGCCTAGGGCAGCAAATGGGTCAGAGCCAGCCCTGGTAGAACTAATTTAAAGGGGACATATCATGCAAAATGCACTTTTGTACGTCTTTTATACATGAATATGTGTCCCCGGTGTTCCAGGGAACTCACCAAGTGTCAGAAAACACAACCCTCTCTATTTTCCTCCATACCCAAATCTCTAAAAAAGGGGCTGCAACGGATCTGATGCAGACTGATCCAGATTTTAACACTTCTATGACGTCACAGAAGTGGCGCTACGGCTATTGGGCAACTCTCCACCTATCAGGGGAATGTGGGGTTGGGCCACGGCCGGTCATTGCCGCTCGAAAGCGCTGGAGACGCTGTAGTACATATGCCAGGCCTGTAAGTGGCGCTGTAGTCTGCCACAAAAGCAGCGAAGAAGACTTCCCGCCCATAGTTACCATGGTTACCCTTCTGTTTATTCTCCGCTGTGGCTTTTTTTCTCCCTCCCCGAGGCAAGCGTTTGCTCCTGCTGCTTTAATTCAATGCAATCCCTCCCCGTCGAGGCAAGCACTGTAATTCTCTCCGGTTAGTCCACCAGCAGATGACAAACACCCACCTCTCCGCCTCTTCCAAGGAACGAGGGGACCGTGCGGCAGAGTTTCAGTTTCAGTTTCTTTCGCCGGTCAAGATGTCCGTTAAAGTTGAAATCTTCCAGACAAAATTAGAAAAGTGCCGGTCAAAGGTCTTCTTTGTTATTTATTGAGCTTTAAAACAAATGAATAACGACTCTATATAATAAAACACGGAGGACGGAGATCTCTTTTTCTCCCCCTCTTCTGACAGCCCAGCAGCTGATCAGAGCACGGCTCACCTCTCCTGCAGGGGGACGTGGTCAGCAGAATCAGACCCGTAGACAGCAAACAGCACATAGAGCGAAATGAGGCATGGTTAAAATGCATGATCTGTTTGGTATTTTGAAAACAGAAACGTATAAATATACCTTATATAGGTATGGCCCTACAATATATCATTTAAATATAGCATGATAGGTCCACTTTAAGTTGTTGTGTCGTGCTTTTACAGGCTGCACTCAGACAGATTCAGTGCTGCTGCCACTGCTGTGTTCACTTGCTATTGCTGCGTTCATGTTCCTGCTGCTGTGTTTCATGTTGCCTGCCCCACCACCACCCCAGCTCCACCCCAGCTTCCACCTGTAGGCTCGGGGGATAGTTATCTAATCATCACTCAATGTTCTTTGTAAATCTGTGGAGTGATGAGGCCCGAGCCTAGACGCCAAACTAAAACTATATGCTGCTTATAATAAACATATTAAGAAACACGTGAGTTGTCTGACTGAAATATAATTGTTTTGTGATATAGTTAATACTTAAAACGTATAGTTGTATTGTAATTTGTAATAATGTATTCTTAGTTGGCTAATGTCAGTATTTATTTAATTATTTCTATTTTAAGTCTTTGTTTTATTTATTGTACTTTTGTGGTGTTTTTTTAATTAAATCTTTCAAAAAGTATTTCCTTTATTTTTTTTCTCTGAACAAAGAAATTGGTGTACAGCAGATGTACAAGTAAGTGTTTTAATGACAGTTTGTGTAAAATAGCACATTAATAATAATAATAATGATGATGATGACAACATTTAATAGTATTAACATTCACTCTTGAAAGCAGTGCTCAGATCCTCTTCCTGAGTGAAAGCACTAATGCCAGACAAAAATACTACATTACAAGTAAAAGTCCTGCAATCATAAGTGCAGTAACATGTAGAATAGTGGCCTCTAAGATGTATTGTAGTAAAACAACATGCATATAATGGAAAGTACATCACATTAAAGGTAGGGTAGGTAAGTTTGAGAAACCGGCTCGAGATACACTTTTTGTTATATTCCATGGAATGCTCTTAACATCCCGATAGCAATGAATATCTTAAGTGCTTTGACAAAAAATCCATAAAAAAATTTCATCTGTGGAAGCCGTACTACTGTAAAAAGCACGACCAATCATTTTAGCCGGCCCGGCTAAAATAACTGGATGGCCTACCTGCCTGTCAGCCTTCCATCGGGGCCCAAACTTATCTCGTGCCCTCATTGGTCATGTGCGCGTTTGTGTGTGTTGGAGGAGGGGCTCTGTAAGGAAGTGGCAGATTTTTTCCGGCTGTGTATTTTCAAATTCTAGCGCACTCGAGCTGGTTTCTCCAAAATGACCTACTCTACCTTTAATATCTAAGTACACTTGAGTAAAGTATCATTGAGTCATAATAATATAGTATTACTTATAGCACTTTTCACAAATGAAATCCAAACCAGTTTAAAAACCTTGTTAAAAAGTGCTTCTTTTTTTTAAAGGGATAGTATTTAAAATAATCATAAAGCTGTTGTGGAATGCCACATTTATGAAAAATTAGATGGGAAATAAATACTTTAAATATATACTATACATAATAGTGAAATATAGAATAGAAGGTTTACACACACACACACACACACACACACACACACACACACACACACACACACACACACACACACACACACACACACACACACACACACACACACACACACACACACACACACACACACACACACACACACACACACACACACACACACACAGGTAAACAGACACCCCCAGTCACACTACTAAAAAAGGGGCTCAGTTAATCTTGATAAGATGGCATTTAGTAAGGTGGCATTTAGCACTTATATCAACAGTTTTCCATATCAATATTTTACCTGTGTATTAAACAAAGGCGAGGGAAAAGACATGCACACAAAACACACAAACACACAGGCTACTTAAAATCCAGAGATTACTGATGCAAATTTCTGATGTGGTTCTGGGTCTGTGTGTCAGGGCTGTAGGTGGCCTGTGTGAATTGTCACAGCGATGTGACAGATGAGACTCAGAGGCCTCTGCTTGATCAGTAAAACTATTTGCTGGACCGAGGAAACTTCTGGACGGGAAGTGTCAGAATGTAACCAACCACACAAACAAGAGCTTGTTTCTTCACAGCTCAGAGAGGGGAAGAGAGGACGACAAACAGATGTCAGATAGAGAGTTGATAGTCTATTTGCCTACGATTCTTTACATTATTTTATTTACCCTTGTCTGAACTATTACCTGGTTTTCCTGTTTTTCAATCTTATTCATGTTGCTGCTTGAACACATGCATTTCACTAGTGGGATCAGTAAAGTTTTATTTAATCTCATTTTAAAACAAAATGTATTTTCTTTCCTGCTTAATGTTTTATCTTTCATTTTGAGGACCATGTGATGGACGGGACTCTGGAGTCCAGTCGTGAAAAACTCAGGAGTAAACATCAAGCAGAGATATCACTATGATGGTGAAGATCATTCCTACTTGTGCTACAGCAATGCTGACAATTTAACAACTTCTCTCCCCATTGCATTCACTCTCTGCAGAGGAAACCAGAACATATCCACTAAGGACCAGTTTACTTTAGAAACATTGTCTCTAGTTCCATTTTGAATTCCAACTTACTATATGAGTCCCTCCTATGTAAAATAATTTCCTCTGTAGTTTTAATACATTTTGCACACAGCCAACCCATCGTCTAGTTCAGACATTCATTTTAGCAACATGTCAAGTCAAATTACAGAAACAATCTTTATTGAAAGCATATTGTGCACATACTGTATATCATAATGTGTGAACGCACAGCATTATAACAAAAAACAAAACATAAATAAAGGATTTAATTCAATGAAAAAATTATAGTTTCTTCTTTTTCCTTCTTTCTTCATGTTTTCACTCAAATGGGAAACATTGATCATTAAGAAACAAAACATACAGCAGATCATTTTCCAAAAGCATACCTAACAAAGCACAATGTGTTAACCCTTCAGCTCTGATGTGTGCACTGATGGTAATGCTTCCTTTAATTTCACAATCAGGGTCTAAAACACAGCTCTTTGAACCAGGTAAAGGGAACGAAGACAGTAAGAAACATGGCCATGTAGTCAAGTAAGGAATACGAGAAATGTTACAGAGGAGGAACATAGCCAAAATGGAAGGTCTATCATCTAAAGGTGGTTACCTGTTGTCTTTCTGTGCATTTCTATGCAGGCATCTAGTGCCAGGCATAATGCAAAGTCAGAAATATCTAAGTCTATCACATAGTGGCTCTAAGGTAAGGTAAACTAACTCTGTGTCCGGTATTTATTTGTGAATAAGGTCACAGTTGTCCTTCAAGAGACAACCGTCATTGAATTTATCGGCATACAATGTAGTGTTCTAATACTTGGCATACTTTTACATTTAAACTGGGCAGTTCCTCCTCTTTCATCCATGAAAGGTCGATTAACCTCATAATACATTGGTTCATTCAGTTTATACGTTTTAAAAACGTGCAGAAATTGCCTCAAAAACAATGTAAACCAAAAGTATCTGCTAAGTAGTTTCTGCCAAATCAGTTACAGTATGTTAGAAAAGCTGGGCTAATTTAAAGATCTAATGTGTCTTTTATACACAACCACCGTGGCGACTCCCTTCACGTCCTTCAGCCTGTCTGAGTCAAAGTCCACCAGTAGCTTTCTGACCCCTGTCCGCACGGGGGAGAACAAGAGCTTGACAGACACTTTCTGGCCTGGATTAATATCCCCTCTGAAAAATAAAAGAGCGATGCTTGAGTTCTATTTGATTGAGGTCCTGTTATGAACCACACTGTTGTTATTGCTACACGATAAATGACTCCTTCTCAGCGGAGCTTGAATGACAATCAAGACAGTAGTTGTTTGACTCGATTGTTTGGTCTGTGTATCTTTAAGTTACATTTTGTAGGTGAAGGTCGAGGATCCATTGATGGAGCCAACAACCATCTTTTATCCTAGTGTGTGATATATACAATTCAAGGTTCAAGGCTTTTATTGGTCATACGACATACAGTGTACAGTGTGCTACAGTGTAGTTATGACGATGGAAATCTTAGCTACACTGTAGCTATGTACGTATGACCAATAAAAGCCTTGAACCTTGAATTGTATATATCACACACAAGGATAAATTCATTGCACATGCCTTATAGTGAAGAGGGTGTGACTCAGTACTTACTTAACAGAGATCTCAGTGGCCGACAGTAGGCCGGCTCCCTCCACAGTGAACACGCCACTCTTCAGAGGAACTGGTAGAGGATTGGTAAAGGAGATCAAAGCGGTCGTTTGATTCCATACAACAGCCTTCCCAGGCACCTGTAAAAGGGTGGCAGCTCTATGTTAAGGGCAGCAATTACACTGTAGGACATTACAATCTGGAAATACAAAACATTAAACATAATTTATTTTAGAATAGATGTAGTTTGATACACTAATGTCAAATATAATGACACAAATCATTGTAAAGTCTGAAAATATTATGGAAAGAGCCGGCTATCTTTTTCAGGTAACATAAAAATGAAATGAAAATACATCCAGGTTTCGTTTTACAAGTAAACTTCAACCAGACATGATCATTGAAGAACATCTTTAAAATGTTGTGTGACTGTTGAATCTGTGATTTTCTCTCATATTCCAAGTGTAGGATTTTTACAAGAAACATTAGACTCTTGATGTATCTTATTTCATCATTAACTAAGCTCTGCAAACATTTGAAAGCTCATAGTATCTAATCAGTCCTTCTCTACCTTTAATTTATCCACACATAAGACTAGCATTATAAACCTTATAAATGATTTCATGGTCAAACAAGGACTTCTGGGCATGCTCAGAGTGAACCCACCTGTACGAGTAGTTCAGGCATGCTCATCGGGATGTTGGCCATGGCCATGATGGGTTCGTTCTCCCCTGGAGCCTCTAACAAGGCTTTCACCCTGATCAGATGATGCTCACGAACACACCCGACATAGTCATCATAGTGCAGACGCAGCACTTCCTTGTGGGCTGAACACACATGCACACATAGAGTATAACTTTAGACAGGAGGATTGTACATGCTACTACAACATAAGAAGTGGAAAAAGCGTGCTGGTTAGACACAGCATCATTGTTGTTTTACAGCATATTTTCACCAGTGACCTTTGTGGGTTTATTTGAGCCACAAACCTTTGTGAGCTGGCACTGTCACACTGATTGTTTGTCTTTTACACTCTCCCCGGTTTAGAGAACTGTAAGTTACAGCCATGACCACCATGGCAAGCTGAGCATGAGCTTCTCTGGCTCCTTCATTCTTCACCTGCGGACATGATGGATTTATGATTGGATGTTGTCTTACAAAATGTCCATCAGACTACAAGACAAAATATGCGATACATTCCGACAATGGCAGCCCCATTTCCCCTGTGTATGACATGATTTACTGATTTTATCAATTAATCCATGCATCATTTCAGCTACAGTCTGAACACCCTGTACGTACCTCAACAATCACATCAAAGTCCGTCCCAAGTACAGGCCTAGAAGGCTTGATTGACAGCTTCAGTTGTCCTGGTTCTGTGATCTCATTGGTGACCCGGCGCCCCGCCTTCTTGTACACATCTCTCTCTTTATTGGAGCCTGTGGAGAAGATGTTGGTCCATAACAATGAACCATGATTCTGTCAGATGACTATAAACAGATATTAAACAAGTTAAGTGATTTTGAACAATTTCAACATCGTTTTGATTGTACATTGACTTGTAATAGAGAGAGTGGCGTCTTTGTCAGCTGCATTCTGCTCCCTGATCATATTTTATGGATGATCATTTTTTATGTCTTTCCCTTTGATGTCCACTGGCGGCCCTACCTTGAGTCTCAGTGATCAAACAGAAAGCTTTCGTTGTTGCAAAAGTAAATGTAACCAGCTAAATGCTGTTAATAGTAGCTGCTGTTAGCTAGTTAGCTGTTGGTAAGTTAGTCGTGCTTTCACACTGCGAACGGAATATAGGGTTAAGCAGTCTCTACTTAGTAACAATTTTGGGCTGCTATTTCTAGGGTTGTTTGACTTGTTTGATCTCTGGCCATGTTAGCAAAGTCGATATTTAAGACAAATGTGTACAAGTAAATATCACACTGAAACAGTGGGGGCTCAAAACTCCTATACATTATGTTTCTTTGAAGGCTTCTATTAGTTACATGCTCAATCAGTTGAATGATTTATTTTTAATCACATAAAATATAGTCTTTTAATCAGAAGATTTAGCAGTTGGAGGCTAGGAAGTATTGGAAAAATGCTGTATACAGACCTAAATAAATGTGATTATGCTCAATAAGGGTTTATCAATATAGCCTTTACACATTTCTGAAATGTGTAAAAGTTCTGATCCAAGTCAATCTACTCCTTTGTTTACTAATTCTTAACTTACCTTCTGAATATTTGTATTGTTGAGTGACATCATCTCTGTAGTCGCCGTAAACACTTTTGGTGCTGATGTTCCTCCCCACACTTGCCTGATCAACTCTGATCTGTAGCAATATTAACATGCGTCACTATCCTTACATCCTTCTTTGCAAATGGCTTTTGAATTGAGCAAATATGAAAGACGATCAGAACAAAAGTCAATCACCTTCTGCCGCTGGCCATCTGCCTGGACGATCCAGTAGATGATGTCAGCATTCACCTCAGCAAATACAAAAGGAGCGTCATACTTTACTCCGAGATTTCCCTCCTTGATGGCTGTCACTGGACACGGGCCACAGCAAAATTCACCTGAAGGGTATAGCAATGAAAAACAACAAACAACATTGTTAGACTGATAATTCAAAAAGTGTTGAAAGTGTTGAAGAGTTGAATAACAGTAATTAGTTTAAAAATTAGGAATATACCATCACTCAATTCTTGAGGGGTGGGGTCCAAAACCTGCCAGCCATCGTTTCCTTTGGGGAGATCTTCTCTCCTCATCCAGGATTCGACCCAACAGTGGAAATTCCTTAAAATCACAACGATAAGAAGAGATCATTCATTACATTAGATTATGTAATATCAATTGTACAAAATCAATTGTATTCATAATCTGTGTGTGTGTGGTTTGTGTGTCTGTTTGTGTGCAGGCTCCTACCAGCTACTGTCTCTCTTGTTTCTCCCATCAAAGCTCTCCAGTCTTTCATTCAGCAGAAAGTCTATTGAGAGGTTTCCATCGACATCATGGGCTGAAGAAAAGTTGGTAATGAGGCGTGTTGGGATTCCCAGAGAGCGCAGCACTGAAAAAGATACCACAAATCAGACTGGAAAAATAATTCCCTTTGTTCCAGCTGCAACAATAAGTTAACTTATTGATTAGCTGATCGTCAGAAAACCCTTTTAACAAATGATTAATCCTTTTTAATGCAAACATTTCAGAAAATATTATTTCACATCATATTAAAAGATTAGCTTTGGATTGACAAAATAATTAAAGAGGTTACCTTAGACTTTGGATGGCCCTCTTTCATAATTGTATGACACATACAGTAATTACAAAAGAATGAGTAATCTTTAGATCCAACCCTTATTCCTCCCTTCCTTTCTTTTCTGTTGATAATAAGTATTTAAGTTATTGGGGACAACTTATGTCAAGCTAAGTCAGCCGGCTGCTGGCTGGAGCAGCATTCCCCGTACACAGGATGGAGTCTTCTTATCAACCTCTCGGTCAGAAAGTGAATCCACATATTCCCGTAACCCAGAATTATTTTATTTTTCTCAACAAAAACAGTTGTTTTTCCCCCCTTTATCTTCTGAAATATTACACTTCAGCATCATTCAATGCAACAGTGAATTCTACAGAAGCCTCACCTGTGCAGGCGACAGCAGCAAACACCCAGCACTGGCCATATTTGACCGCCCTCGCCCCGGCATTGCTCCACTGTTGGAGGATCGGCACACTGCCGGTCCATCTGTAAGGTGCGACTCCGTCAGTGTACGACTCGTCCCAGCGACCGGTCAAAACACCCCTGTCTCCGTTAGAGTTGACCTGGACAGGTGTAAAGAACATGTTGTGGAGACATCCGGTTTGATCACTAAAGTGTGTACGTGTATCAGTTGCACAAATAAATTATGTATTTTGTCTTGTACTGTTATTTAACCGTTAGTTTTGTTTTCAACAGCAAGTAAAAGAGATATTCACCATTGCTGTGACCATCCTGCTGACGTAGACAGGGTCATTTCTCTGCTTAATGTCCACTTCTGAGTTTTTCAGGGCATCCTTGGATTTATCAAGGACTTCAAAACACATGTCCATCACATAGTCCTCAAACTGAGGGAGATTCAAAGGGAAACAGGGAGAGAAAACATGAGATAGAAACAAAGATGTGTTGTCGAGCAGGAGAAGCTTCTCAACCAGTTTTTTAAAATGTATTTCCCATTGGTTGGTCTATATATATATATATATATATATATATATATATATATGTTACACACCTCCTGTCTGTCTATTTATCATCTATCTATTTTCATCCTCTCTGACCTCACAGTGAGCTGTGAAGGAACAAGCTCTTGTTTGTGTGGTTTAGCTCCTGTCCAGAAGTTTCCTCCGTCCAGCAAACACATTTCCTGTACCGGCAGAAGCCTCCAAGTCTTCGCTGTCACACTGCTGTGACAATTTACACAGACACAAGCCACATACAGGCCTAACAGATACACACACACAGTTAACCCATTCAGACAATCTGTCAGTGTGTGGGTGAATTACCTGTCCATAATTCCAGGGAATACTGTTGATGTTATCCCAGGTGCCCATGAAAATGATCCCATCTTCATTCATAACATACTCCTGAAGGAGACTCTCGTCAGGGAGGTACACTACATCATCTGGCAGACAATTGGAACAGGATACAGCAGCGACATTAGCAAAAACATAAACTCCTAAATTACATTTTTTTAATGTTGAATTGCCTCAATTAGAAACAAATCTTTATCTGTACTGTACTATTTGTACTACATCAACTTCATTATTATTGTAAAAGTGAAGGGAATCTGTTAATCTGGCCAATTGGTGGAATCACTTATCATAGGGGGTTTGCTTTTACCTTTGCACCACGGGTTGAAGAGTAGGTGGAAACTAAGTTTATCGGTTTTCTCTAAAATGTGTCCGTCAGGTGACATCATCAACACGGCCAGGTGGTACTGGCCAATGATAGCGTCCGCTGGACTGTGCAGAGTCAGCAAAATGTCATCCTGCGCTCTCTGCTGATTAAACCACCACTTGTCCCCGGCCCCACGGCCCTTCTGAAGTTTGATCACTACCTCGTCTTTACTACCTGAAGAAACATAAAAAAGTATATGATTTATACAAACATTTTTTGCATCAACAATTAATCTTCTTGTTTTCTATGGGAGTTAGCATCAAAACATATTTCTCGACTCAGGAGGATATTACGGAGCCCCTAAAGGGTCATGAAAAAAAAAAAAGTATCTTGTGCGCACATACTGCCCGATTAGTACGCTATATTATTAGTTTCATGAAGAAGATGTCCGGTCACCAGGGCGTGTGTGTGTGTATGTGTGTATGTGTGTATGTTTGTGTGTGTGTGTGTGTATGTGTGTGTGTGTGTGTGTGTATGTGTGTGCGTGCGTGCGTGTGTGTGTGTGTGTGTGTGTGGGCATTTGTTTTCAGAAGATATTATGATAGTGTTGTTCGTTCCGGTGCACTCCGACAGGACTAAGCACTACATCGAGATTAAGATTAAACAAACTTCTTTCACTTGGGAATACACATAGGCCTATATGGAGTTAGCCAGATGTGTGTAAATTACTGTTCATGGTAATTTGAAGACAAATGCCGGTGTCGGACACACACAAACACACCGAACACACACACACACACACACAGAGCGGAGCTGAGCAGAGCACAAACACACACACATCATGCGCCCTGGTGACCGCACATCTCCTTCATAAAACGAGTATTAGGGGGAATAATCGGGCAGTTTGATGTGTGTAGAGGTGTGTGTGTGTGTGTGTGTGTGTGTGTGTGTGTGTGTGTGTGTGTGTGTGTGTGTGTGTGTGGTTAAAACGTAGCAGCCTCGATCTCTATTCAGCTGTTCTAATGAAGGTAAACACAGTGAAGGCGGTGCGTAAAAGGCACAGCTCTCTGTGCGCAGATAGCAGATACTGTGAGAGTCACAGACATGAATTCATAGATCAAGGCAGACTTGTTTACAGACTCTCCTGTTTTGCGGATCCGGTGCTTAAACAAATAGCTCTACACCTGGCCGAAATGTCCTTAAAATGAAGTGCGAGTTTGAAATATATCTCAAATAATGTATGCACTGCCATTTCCCCACATAAACATAACAGTCTGCAATGAAACGGTGGTCTCCTGTCCTGTGTGCTCCACTTCCTACTTGGCGCACCGGTAACTTTCCCGTGCGCACGAAAAAGTATATCGTGCGCACGAGAAAGTATCTCATGCGGACGAGAAAGTATCTTGTGCGAACGACAAAGGATATCGTGCACACGAGATACTTTTTTTCTTTTCCATGAACCTTTAGGGGCTTCGTAGGATATCGATGAAATACAATACTATGAATAAAATGGAGATTTGTGACAAATAAACTTGTTTTCCCAACCTGTTTTACAGAGATCGAGTTTGGGTCAAGAACTGAATAACAATTATTTTTGTAAACAACTCTTTTTATTTGTCTAAAATTATCAAGTGAACACTTGTGTATCTAAGCCAGGTTGTAATTGTGATTTTTTATTATTGGAAACAAAGCCCAACTGATCCTAAGGACCAACTAACAAGCCTAACTAACAAATCTGTTTTACCAAAACCTGTTCTTATTCCTTTGTGTAATAGCGTTGTTGCAGCTAACAGTAAGCATTTGACTATTTTGATTGGTATATATACTGAATACATATTTGTTGTAGTCCCCCAGTATCCAAATGAGGCTGTACTCACCAAGGTGCAGGATCAGTTCCAGTTGGTGTTTGGGGGGCAAAGACACGTAGCACTGTAAACTTATGGAAAAGGGCTGACCCCTGCGAACAATCAGGCGCTCCCTGTCAATCTCCCTGGTGCGATGAGCCAAGTTGTTTTCATGACTCCTCAGATCCACATCAGTAATCAAACCTAACAGAGACAAAGTTCATCCATCAGTCTGGGATACACTGACGCTGTCTGGTTGCTAAATGAAATGTTGGCATTGATAGGAGTGTTTCACCAGAGTTGTGACCTCACTCAGAGTTGTGACCTCAGAGTTGGCAAAGAGTAGCATTGAGGTTACAAGTCATAAATTGAACTTGATGGATAGGTTGTGTTCTCTTGGGCATTTTTCGGAAATACACATATTCACTTTCATGCGAACAGCTAAATGACAACATCAATACTGTTTACTAAATATAAAGCAACACCTAGGAAACTGTTAGCTTAGCGTTGCATAAAGACTGGAAAAATAAGGAATACACTTTGCTAAAGGTAACACAATCTGCCAACCAACACCCGTTAAGCTTACTGATTAACATGTTATTTTTTGGTTTCATTTGTGCTATTTGTTGTTCTCATCCAACACCCTTCAAGAGAGTGAATAGTGTATTCCCAAAATATTGAACTTTCCCTAAATGGAATTAAAGACCTAAATTCATGAAGCTGTGGCAAGCCAAAAGCAAAACATTGTTTATGTATTCTGTATTCTGTAAAATGTAGCCTTATTTAGCCAGTATGATTCCTCTCTTAGCTATTTATTTGACTTGTTACAGGAATGAGGATGGGTCATATCACACCTAAGTGTCAAATTGTGCATCAGCACATTTTTCACACACTCCATAACATACGTAATATAACGTTTATGGGCTGCAGAGAGAAGCAGTGCAAAAGATACTTAAACATACATGATAGATATATATATATATATATATATATATAGATAGATAGATAGATAGATAGATAGATAGATAGATAGATAGATAGATAGATAGATAGATAGATAGATAGATAGATAGATAGATAGATAGATAGATAGATAGATAGATAGATAGATAGATAGATAGATAGATAGATAGATAGATAGATAGATAGATAGACAGACAGATGGATAGATAGATAGATGAATAGATGGATAGATAGATAGATAGATGGATAGAGAAAATCACTTACCATTGTGGTTGGCCATTGCGGATCTATTATTCAAATCTATAAAAAATGTTGCTCCAAGTGTCCTCTAGTGCATCGACAGTCTTCTATTCATGCTTGGTTTTCATCACAGTCCTATATTTATACGCACAAGACTGTCCCTCCCACCTGTCTAACACACTGACCCTGAAACACTCACTAACTCACTCACTCACTCCACCTCATCCCCCTCAGTGACCTCTGACATCACTTACCAAAAGTCTAAAGTCCTCTGTGGTTGTGTGCATGTGTGAAAGTGTTTGCCGACAATTTTAAAGTGAGTTTATCATCCCCTCTGAGACACTGGGGTCTTTGTTGCTGTATAAGTTAAGGGGTGGATGTTGCTGGTGTATGCACAGGTCTGTCAGTTTATGTGCTTTATTTTTATATCTTTATTCTTTTTTACTGATTGTAGCCTCTGAGGTGTAAAATCAAGTCATTTATCTTATTAGATATTGAAGTAAAAAGATATGATTCTAAACTATATTGAAGTAAACATGTATTATTTTGAATTGTATTTTAGTGAACATGTATTGTTTGAACTGTTTTAAGTAATCACATATATAGAAATGATATTCTCACTTACAACTCACTGACCCAGAGATCCTGTTTCACACCCACACAGCTCCTTTTCACCAGAGCGCACACACATGTTCTTTTACAAGGTTCTTTATGGGCATCATTATATCTGTGTACAAGGTTTAATTGTATGAGAAAGAATAGTTTATGTGAAAGATCCCATGGGAAAGTAAGGGAGTGGATATCGGGGCAGAGATAAGATTGACTTTGACCTTGTGAAACTTTAGAATCTCACGTTCTGGTCAGAACTCTGATTCGCATCACAAACCTGAAGCCCGGAGTACTCTGTATAACTAAGTATACATGTTTTATTTCCTACCAGTAAACTCAGATAATTGTTATAACTTTTGATTCCGGTGTTTTCAATTCCTTTCTTAATTAAATAGAGATCAGCCTCATTCAACGAACGGCGCGGAGGGGGGGCTATCAGCCACCAGATAGGTGTTCTGCTCCAACAATATGTAAAAATTCGATGTAACTATTGGGGAGACTAGTTAGAGGATCAGTTAATTGACATCATACCATCTGTCACAATACTTTCTTATCATAAAGATGAGCCATTTGCCCCACCTAGATTTAACTGGAAGATGAACTGTGAGTCAGGAGGGATGGTGAATTCTGGGAAAAACTGTGTTTCAGAGCTTTAACCTTGTTCATTGCACTTGCCAAATAAAAAAAAGGGCCCACAACATGCATGATTACAGAGTGGTTTGAGAGGTAAAATAGTGGGCATCAATTACAATTGGGTTTAATTACAAAATAATTTGCTAACATGAGGAATTTGTTTTGAACTGGCTTTAATGTTGTATTGTTACATCCAACATCTAACCATTTGGAAGCAGAGGCTGGGTCAGCCCTCTTTTTTGCCTTTGCACATAAAGCCGATTTTCCTCCATTTGGTCAATTTCGGTCGGTCAGATAATTGGCAATTGGCTGTAGTCTTTGAGGTGTGTTCAAATGCAATTTTGTTGGCCACATACCACCTGTAGCCAGTAATTAATTAATGTCTGTTTAGTTTGTCCGGGCCTTTTACTTTGTCTAAGGATAATAGATGTCTTTGACAGACTGATAATACAGTAACTAGTACAGACGGTAAACGTCAGCACCCAGTCCACACATAAAAACACATTGAAACGTCTAGACTCTAGAGGACTGGCACTACAGTGTTACCACACTGACGCTTGGTGCTTTATTTTGGTCACACACTCACGCTTTCACTGATGAAGTCACATACCATATACATACAATATTTAGTGATTCAGCTGAACACGTTACACTATAAATGTAAACCTGACCTCATTATGGCTATTCATCGTAAACAGCTTGAAATCTATCTAAATCTATCAACCATTTCATATGGTTTTAAACCTGTACTCATCTTAAATAAGATTGGAGAACTTGCAGACACAAAACAATCCACATAACAGAGGCTTTCTTTTGTTGCTGACTTTTAGCCTTTTTGTGGTCCCTAACACTTCCCATAAATAAACACTTCCTGTAGCAAACAGGTGCTCGGATATCTGCTGGACTTTGGATCACTTTGTAACATCAAACAGAAGAGCAAACACTTTGCTCAGTAATGTGTGCCTGGTGAGAGTGACTGGAAAACTGTGTTTGCAAACAGTGTGATTCTGAGTTGTGGAATGATGAGATGGTCATGTACCGGGAAACCAAGGTCTTTGACTGAAATGCACTAGAGTGTCAACAGAGTGAAACACTCTAATATGACCACATATTTTGATAGATAAAAATTGGAACCCGCTGATGCACACTTTTGTTCGTGGGTCATTTTGGACACTCCACTGGAATTGTATGTAATAAAGCTAAAAAGCTGCAACCTTTTCTAACTGAAATGTTTGTGGCCATAGCTGCAAGTTAATTTACACGAGAATCTGCAGTAATTGAAAAATCTGCCATATAGAAATTCAAGATAGAATTGTATTTGTATTACTTGCACTATTTTAACTATTTTGTCTGTTTTATTATGTTGCACCGTTGGAGGAGCCTGTGACCTAAGATTTTCATTGACATATCTACACTGTAGCTATATACAAATGACAATAAAAGCCTTGAATCTTGAAAAAAAAGAACATCTGACATGAGTATTTGATAGATGGAATGACTGTAGATCCAGAAAATACTCGGATCATCCAAGGTCTCATCCAAGTTTCTGTTTATCAGGGTGATTTACTTGCTGTGGCTTTAAGTGTTGTTGAGGGGAAGATGAGGAGATAGCTGGACTAGAGAACCCCTTCCACCCCCTCCATGCAGAGCTAGTGAAGATGAGGAGCACGTTCAGCCACAGACTCTTCCCTCCTTGGCACACCACAAAGCATCTAAGACAATCGTTTGTGCTTGTAGCCATCAGGCTGCACAATCAAGGGTTTACCAGGTAACCAATCAAAAAATTGCAACTGAATATCAATAGTATTTGCACTGTATGCACACACGACCCTCATCTGCACAGTCACCTGCACATTTAAATGCATATTGAACTTGTTCACATATCTGTACATATGTACACTTACAGAGTTTAGCTCAATCAAATGTTATTTTCTATTCATACTGTTACTACATGTTTATTTTTATGTAATTATTTTGTATTTTTATTATCCATGTGTATATTCTCATGTCTCGTGAACTATCTGTGTTTCTATCTTATTCTGTTGCTGCACCTGAATGTCCCTATGGAGATCTATAAAGATCCATCTTATCTTATTGTATCTGCAAAGAGGACACTGATTAGAAAGAGAAGCATTGTTATAGATTCCATTTAACAATGTTACTTCATGAGCAATTTGGAGAGTGGCAGCAATTTTATCTTTGAAAAAAATGTCACTTGTTCAGTAGGTGGCGCCAATGCACCAAGTATTTTATTAACACCCATGAAAATCTAAAAAGGAGAGAAAAAAACTGCCTGTTTTCCATCAAGTCCTCAGGCATGGAATAAATAATGCGGAGGCCGAGGGTGTGTGATATTCACTTGAACACTTTGATCTGTACAGATGAGTGGAAGAGGCAAAGGAGGAAAGGGACTCGGCAAAGGAGGTGCCAAGCGTCACCGTACATTTCTCCGTAATAACATCCAGGGAATCACCTGGGTTGCGGTCGAATAGTCCATTTTAGCTTAGGAACCTTCCTAACAGAGTGAAATAACCCGGAAGTACCTTAATGGCAGCCATGATAAGTGCCGTTCGAATTCTCTAAAATGATAGGAAAGGAGGTTTCAAAATTCCTTTATAACCTCCTTTAGTTTAGGAACCACTGGACCTTCCTTTACGAAAGAAAAGGAGAGTATGCTGCCCCACAATGCCTTGCGGCCGCAGCATTTGCCATCACGCAACAGTCGGCCGTTCACGGAAACAACCGATTATGACCGAGAAATTATATCATGAAAGTTAGGGTGCTTATTAAGCTTTTTAAAACGTATGTGGTAACTTGCCAAAGTGCTTTGTTTTGAACGTTCATCAGTATTATAATCCAAAAGAGATATATGAACGTTAGTTTTTACTGAAATGATCAAATAAAGTCAACATTTCACAGTCTTTACTGAGCTGTGTGGGGTTTGTTCAACTTTTAAAAGATGTTTGAATGGTGATATACACAGTGATAGATGTTAAGGACTAACGTTTATAATAAATACAGTATTTATTTTAAGATCTTTTCATACAATAATACGTATTGGGATCATTTGTATTAATGTGGACCGGAGGGAGAGGGTGACACGGTGCAGAGTCTCTAGATGAGTTTACAGTAGTCCGTCGTTCTTATTATACATCAATGTAGTCCACTGTATAGAAAACTGTAGTTTCCCCACAGCAGCAGATGCACATTCATGACATCCGCTGGCGCATCATAAATACGTCGGATAGTGAAAGTGCAGTCGGATTCTCAAAGCACCGCAGTCTCTTCTCCTAAATCCTTTTGAATTCTCCTAACATATGATGTTTGTCAATCTTAAATAATAATTTCCATGTCAAAAAAGTCACAGTTTGTCGTAAAACTGTTGAAATATAAGACTATGAAAAATACGCAACTAGAAAGATTACAAATCCCAGAATCCCGGTCCCGCATGCTGGCTCTTACGGAACTGACTAACTCCCCTTTTGTGTATGTACAGCTCTCAACATGCCCAGAGTAGTGATTTTCACCTCTTTTAATACTTTTCGCCTCATTCTGAAAGAAAGAAGTGAAATGTGCCAACGTGACGGCCGTCTTGGTGTGTGGTGCGAGACGGGAGATGTAGTTCATTGAGCGGTTTCACACAAAAAAAGTGTTACTTCACAGTTTTACGACACATTTTTATTTTTTTTACTTGTAAAATTATCTTTTAAATTGACAAACATCATATGTGTAATTCGTGGCTCAACCGGAAGGGGAGGGACTTCGCCTCTCTATAGAGAGGTGAAGTCCCTCCCTTTC